TATACTTACTACGCCTACAGAAGTTAATATTTTATATATTGCTTTTAGAACTTATTCCATTTTCTTAATTAGTATAGTATTAATACTAAAATAGTATACGTTAGATGATGATGAGGCGTATGCTATAGGAAACACATATAATAGAGTTTCGTATCTAATTTTGATCATCGGCTATGATTGGCTGGCCGAAAATAACAAATAATGTTCCTTAATATTTCTAACCATCGGTCGATCGCTCATCGTTTGACCTAAAGTTTAATTTAAAGCAAACTTATAAATAGATCATTACTAAAATAACTTTCGATGGAGCTAATGAACAACTCAACTAATTAAGTACATTAATCTTAAACAAACATAAATAAATTATCACTATTTTTAAGCCGTTACAGTACGTAGTATTTGTTATCTGTGATGACAGTCATTTCAACTACTCTGTTGATTGATTGAATTTTAAAGTTTGGCTAAGTTTACCATATTGATATGATATTACATAGCTGATTAATAACTTCCGATATATACTAATCCTGGGTAATTTTATGACGGGGATAGTGATTGTATGAGTTGGTATTCTGGATTATTTCAATATTAAAAAACGTCACTCTCACACTAGGACTTTTCTTTTAATGTAAAGTCGTTTTACATATTTAAATTGCATATTTTATGCGGGATGTTAAGAAAAAACAGTTCAAATTTTTTCTAAGTATGTTCTTGTTAATTCTGATAATTCGATACTTTTTAATGATGTCGATTTTATATTTATAATATAAATATTTAAGTAATAGTTCACTTCTCTCGATGCTTTTATTCGACCGACAGTTTATTTTATTTAAATTATGAAAATCAATTCTTAAAAAAAACTCATCATCATTTAGTATAAGCTACAATTTCATTACGAAAGCAACTAGTACTTTCTTTTTTTTTAAATTGGATAATTTGGCTTTAGTTTCGTGTGATATATCCTGTATTTATATATGTGCCATTTTAAACCAAATATATAAATAAAGAAGTTTCAGTAGAAGGCTTGTCATCACAGATGAATTACGTTTACCGCTAAAATTTCATTTTCAAGTCTTTTCTTTATCTTTGGACGTTGTCCGTACAAACATACGATTTTTTATTAAGGCCAATTTTACTCAAGTATTCATTATTACAATTCAACTACTATACTACAATCGATTAACATAACAATTACAACGCTAGATAAAAATAAATAAATTAACACGGGCCTTCGAATGAGACGAAATAAAAAAAAAACTACTAAATTGGTAATAAAATATTATCTGGTATTACCAACTCTAGCAAAAACTTCTTGCGATATAGACTTGTTTTATAAAACAGAAAAATAGTATATAGCATTCGAGGCGTCTCTTTTTCTTTTAAAAATAAAAATCTTTGGATGTAATATTGCAACGAATGAAGAAATTATTTTAAGAAATAAATAAAACATTTTTTTTTTAATTTAATGACCACTTATATGTTATTTGCCACATCAGAGTCACCGTCACCTTAGCTAAATTAATATGAACTTTGTGACGGTAGCCCAGCACTTTTACACGTTGGTTTATATAAACTATGCAGTTTATGAATGATCTATATTAATTTAGTATAGTATTAAAAATCAAATTAATAAAATAGTTTATTATTTTAATTGGTCTTTTGGGACCCCATTAGTTTTAACTTAAATAACGATTACGACATATACACTTACAATTTCATCGTATATCTGATTAGGATTGGGGGACCTCACATATTGTATGTCCCAGACATGTTGCTTTCATTTAGCGACATAGTTGCAGGCGTGGTAAAGTATAGCACTTAGGATTATCACCAATAATTTTAGTGGTGCCGGCCCCTGTACTCGAACTCTAGCTTCTCATGTGTGTAAAATATTATAAAATATGTGGTCTTACAATTCATGCACTTAATTATAACATCGTGTCCTAGTAGTTTTCATTTCTTTTGGTTTTTCTCCTGTATTGTAGTGGCAGTTTATAAACATAAATTGCACAAGGACAAACATCCAGGCTCGGAACAATTATTTGTAGGCCATACAAATAATTGTTCCGTGCAGGATTCGAACCCGCGGTCCTTAGCGCCGAAACTCAATTCTAAGCCATTGCGCCACGAAGCCGTAAATTTTTTGTAAAATTGACGGAATATTAATGTGTTTCATTGATTCATGAACGCGTAAAATTTTTTTTAAACTTTAGAGATAACTCTAAACCACACAGTTTATTGACAACGTGTAAAACTACAATTTTATTAAACTTAAATACTCGCAATGGAGCAATTTTCTTTAAAATCTTTGTTTATTCTTTGGCAGTAATTTAATGGTCGTACAAACAAACAAAATGGCGCTTATTCATGTAAAGACATATTTAAAGCAGTGCTGCCATCTTCACAACTATTTTCTACCGTAGGCGTATTATTTTTCTCTTCAACTCTTATTTCATCTTCGCTTGATACTTGAGTACCGGCGAAGGAAAGGAAGTGTTTGCCAAAGTCTAATTCAGTTTCATATGACGGTATATCCTCTGTGCCGCTCTTTTCCCCAAAACTTTGACTATCGGCGACCGAGTTCGGATATCCGTCGTAGTTTTTATATTCGCGCTGTTTCTTGCTGTTCTCGACAAACTGCTTCAACTGCTGCGGCATAGGGAAAGAAGATTTGATGTGACATCTCTTCATCCAGTTCCGAAGGGACTTGCGAGGTACTTTGTGAGTTTGAGCAGCTCTGGAATACAATAGGCTTTAAATAGATTAACTGAAAAATTGAAAACGTATATAACTAACAATTTACAGCGCGTTAGTGTAAGACTGTCGTGTAGTGGCGGTGTAAGAATATCCACTACCCCATATCATGCCGTGGGTATCGTAAGAGGTGACAGAGGGAAAAAATAAGGAGATGAGCAGCAGCGTCATCCTAATAAAGACTAAAACTAAAAAACTGCGGTTGACAACTTGATTGCCAACCGTTGCAACTATGGCAAATATCCCCCTATGAGGCAATCTATGGGAAGGAGGTTAATGTTCAGCAGTGAAATTTAATAGATTGTAACGGTAACGCCGTAAAATATCGTCTTGTACTGATGTCTTCAATCCACTTGCCAAGCGTAACGATTGTGGCTAATTCTTGCAGTGGACTTTTAAGGGCTGGTGAAGAAGCAAAATTAATAATTAGTGTCTATACATAAACGTTGGCTTCAACTAAGATTTAAACACATGACCAAACGCAGTAACCTGATATTCTTCCCATGTTAAATCACGTATAAGTACTTTATTTTTACAGAATAAAAATGACAAACGAGTGCACAGTCCACCTGATGGTAAGTGGATGCTGTGGTTCATAGACGTCTACTCTCAATTACGAATTAAAATGCAGATGCATGATACATGACCCATGAGCCACATATCCAGTAAAAAGGACCTCCGGTAACAGTCACCATACGAAATACAGCAGCATTAAGCTGCTATTAGCGTGGTCCTACTCCAACTCATTCGTGCTAAAACTATAATATAGCTGCAGCGTGGCTCTACTACGCATGAAAACAACTGCTGCAGGCCATGAACACCGGCTATTAACTTTAACTTCAAATAATAAAGGCCATCTGTAGCCTTGCTGAGTTGGTGACTCTGTTACCATACTCTGGCTCTCTCTGATTTTTAATAGAGTATAGATTTAGAGTGAGCCACAGTATCCACTTACCAACAGGTGAACCGTGCGCTCGTTTGTCATCCTTATTCAATAAAAAAGCTACTTATTATCGGGTTGATTGTTAGTTCGTTGGCACACTAAAAATATTAAGAAAAATTGAGTATTCGTAACACAGGAATAAAGATTACCTATAAATACTTCCACCTTTCTTCACATCCATTAAAGCTGCCCACATAGCTTCATTGGAATATCGTCTGTTAGGGTTAAATTTTCCCATCATGACCCTTTCCAAATCTTTGCGCGAGAGACCTGACGAGCTGACTTCTTTACCCTCCAAGAACTGGTCTAAGTCAGATTTTAACACTGTGTCCCCGATATCCATGTTTTTGTCTTTGAAAATAGGCGGCCGTCCACGCCTGCGAATCTGTGGCTTTTCCAAAACTTTCGGGTAAATTTCTTTGCTGGCAACACTATCGTTTTTTGGCTTGGGTATTAGCTCGACTTCTGACTTTTGACTTTTAATTTCGGTTTTCGCTTTTTTAACTTGATTAGCTTTCAACAACGATACTTCTAGTTCGCCATTTTGTTCGAGCCACGACTTGTAATAGTCGTTTTCTGAATTCTTCTGTTCATAAACTTCTTCCGTCGCCATATTGTTTGTGTTTAGGCCGTATTTAGAGAATTCGTTTTGTATTTCAGTTGCGTTCATTTTCGATAGTCTATTTATATATTCTGAATTTGCTTTAGCCAAGTTTTGTAATTTAGTTTGAAACAGTAATTCACTCTCTGGTTTCACTCTGATGTATGGATGGCTTCGACCTGAAACTGGTAGAAAACTTTAAATAAAGTACAATCAAAAGTGAACCATGAATGTCCTTTGAAATATATATGAAAATGTTGACAAATGACATGTCTGTAAGATAGAAAATAAAAACAAATTCATGTGCTTTTACGACCAAACCATTTTTCAATAACAAAAACATTCATGGTTCAAGTTCTACTAAAAATACTACCAATTTGGTTATATTTCAAAATGGCCTACCTTACAGACATTCATTGTTCATATTTTTACAATGTCCATTCACAATATGATCTGCAGTTTATACTCTATGGTTCCCACACACAACCCAACCGTTTTTTTTTTCACGATGGAAAAACGTTAATATACGAGTACAGATCAAAAACGAAAATAATATTTTAATAAACGAAAAATATATACTTGTAATAGAAAGCAAGTGACAAAATGGAAGTCACATTGCAAATAAACATTGAATAATTAGTTCAAAATAAGAATTAATAGTAAATAAAAAAAATATATGAAAAATAAAGTTAGCTCTATCCTTACCTGATGTTTGCCCTAGACTACTGCCGGGTTTTCCAGATTCTTCCTCCTAGAAAAATAAATAAAAAATTCTACTTAGTATATACACGGCTATTTTCATTATAGGTGTTGTCTGTAAGGTATCCTCTAGACCGAATTTCGATCACGACGGCCATTCTCAACGGAGACCAGCCATCTGCGCGAGTAAGATTTATAATTTACGAGTGTATACAAGCACACATATGCTCTCTATTCCCCACTTTTATAGACCGATAGGACGGTTATCCGACATGACCGGAGAGAGATCAGGCAAAGGACCTACGGCTTTAGGTGCTTTCCGAGGCACGTGGGTAAAAACACCGGCAAGATTCTAGCTCCGGGCAAAATTGCTAATTGTGGCCCGACCCGAGATTCGAATCCAGGACGTCATGACCATACACCGGGTTTACGATCACTAGATCATCAATGTCTATTTTCAAATCAATGATATTTAAAAACTAAGGTTGAGTAACTAGCGTCCCGAAATGATAGCTCAACAAGTTAACTAAGAAGTTTTGTTACACAATTGACTTTGACGCACAAATTGTGTAATAAAACTTCATTACTATACTTCATTACTATCAAAATTGGTGGCTTTAGAGAAGTGGGGACCCAGGGTGTAAATGCCAAGAGGCAACCACGTACTACGCTTATTTTAAACTCACGAGATTTCGAGGATTATGTGCGGTGAGTGAAGAGAACCGGAGACCCTCTTTACTGGAAATGAGGCATTCCATCTTAGTCCTCACGGCTGACAACGCATCTGCATTTTGATATGTAATAGAGGATAGATGTAGATGTCTATGGGCCACAGCTTCCACTTACTATCAGGCAGATGTATTGTATGCTATCATTCCGTTGGTGTCGTAAGATCCGACAAAAGGAAAGAATACAGGAGATGGGCAGCAGCGTGTTCCTGAGAATATCTTAAAACCTATAATTAATAGAATCAGGCGTTACTTTGTGGAAATCCATTATAATGGGGTTGTTATAAAATAATTTGCTTAATTCCGCGTAAAGAAAGAAAATGATGTTTCCTGCCCAGTTTTAAGGGGACCTCCCACCCTCCCTCAATAGCACTACCATCCCCACTACGTCAGCACTACGTCCCTTGACGGTGACGGGTATAGTGCACGCGATTGAGGGAGGGTGGGAGGTTCCCTTAAAACTTAACTGAAAATAATTAAAAAATTCGGTTGCCAACCCGCTTGCCAAGTATGGCAAAATTACCACATGAGGCAATCTATGAGGTAGGCCTATGTTCAGCAGTGGACTTTTATAGGATATAATGGAAGAATCAATGGATTTGCTTTATGGGATAAGGGGTACAACACCGGATGATATGGGGTAGTGGATCCTCTCACCCTGCTACTATACGGCCACTTAGTAAAAAAAAACCTAGATTAAAGATGCGGGAAGTCGATGGATGCAGGTAGCTCTCAGAATCGCGCTTTATTGGTTCTTCTTGGGGATGCCTTTATTCATTGGATCTGTGAGGGTGATGATTTGTGCCAGTGGGGATTGAACTAGGTTTGCTCGTGTACTGCGAACTATAAGGAGAGGGCAGAGCGGAAGGCGTTCTTACGTGGTAGAGCCACGCTGCAGCTATATTAATTGTATAGTTGTAGCACGAAAGGGTCGGCTCGACCGGGATAGATGCTCCTGACAGAACACCAGCAAAGTGGCTCTCACAGAATACCAGCGTAAAATAGCAGTTCAGTGCTTAAGTGTTTCCGTATGATGAGTGTAAAGAACCGCAGGACCTGTTTCTATAAAACTAGGCATTCCATCTTAGTCCTCAGGTGTGGTAACGTAACATATGTGTTGTTAACAGTGGTAGAGCCACGCGGCAGCTTTTGCTGTCGCACGGATGGGCCGGCTCGAACCGGGGTGGTACCACGACCTCACAGAAAACCAGCGTGAAGTAGAGGCTTACCTCTGCGTTTCGCTTGGTGAGTGCAGGTGGCCGGAGGCCCTCTTTACTGGAAATGAGGCATTCCATCCTAGTCCTCACGGGTGACAACGCATCTACATATTGATTTGTAATAGAGGATAGATGTAGATGTCTATGGGCCACAGCAACCACTTACCATCAGGTGGACTGTGTGCTCGTTTGTCACCCTTATCCTATAAAAAAAAGGATAGATATAGATGTCTATGGGCCACAGCATCCACTTACCATCAGGTGGACTGTGTGCTCGTTTGTCATCCTTATTCTATAAAAATAATTCTCATTTATCCTTACTTCGTTATATTCAATATGGTCGTTGTCCAGTTCTCCGTAATACAGGCCGTCTTCTTCCACAGTCTCCTCTTTCACTTCCTTGACTTCCGGGTTCCGTTCTCGCTCCTCCGATTTTCGCTTCTTTGGTCCATTGACTGTCGTTGTGCTTGTTGTTGGGCTCGTGTTGTTGTTATTGTTGTTGTTGGTGATTGGTTTTTGTTGTTGGGGTGTTGGACCTGAAGAGAAACCGATGTTATCTTAGAAAATAATTTACATATATAAGATTTCAAAAAAGGTGGAGATTCTCACTTCGACTGTATTGTTCGATCGAGTGGCAATGGGCCGGCCCAAAGAACCGGCTACCGATGGGGAAGAAAGGTTATGGAGTGGCAGCTTAATACCGGTAGGGGAAGCGTAGGGCGTGCCCCCGTAAGATGTAGTGACGACCTGGTAAGTCATGCAGGAAGGCGATGGATGCAGGTGGCTCGGGATCGTGCTTTGTAGCGTTCCTTGAGGAAGGCCTATGTTCAGCAGTGAACTTGTGAAGGGCTGTAATGATTGCGTTAACTCCGCACCTCGCTGGACTGCGCAGTCCCACTCACTTGTCCACTTACTTACTGACCGGCTGCGTGAGTTTGCGCATGGAGGACTGCCATGGAGAGAACACACCCGCAAGTAGCCGAAGATCAGCCCGGAACCGAAGGCCCAGAAAGAGAGAGTGACTATTGGGGACAAAGAATAGATTAAATAACCTGTAGAGAGTCAAGAAAGTGCACGCGGGAAAGAGCCCTGAGCAAGTGCCGCGTGCATCCCTCGAGATTCGGCCCGTATAACCGTAAGGTTGGTGGGGCCATGGGAGGTGGAGGGTTGTCCCACATAAATACCCACGTTCGTCCCGTCGCTTTAAGTGTTGTATATCCATACCGCAGTTTAGTATTTAAACTGTGGCCATACACCGTACAACGTAGCAGAGCGGCGATATGACGTCATAGATGCCAGGTTCGGAGCTAACTCGATTAGGTTGTATTTTCTTTTGTGTATATATGGTACGCGTTAGGTATATTCGTGAACTAGCTTTTACCCGCGGCTCCGCTCGTGTTTAATCAACACCGACAATTTTTTTATTGCACCATGGATTAAAAATACTATAATTTGTGATTAAAAATCCAAAACATATTTATACAAAAAATATAGCTTATTTTCTATTCTGGTTCGGTATCTATAATATTGCTAAGTTTCATCAAAATCCGTTTAGTGGTGGTTATTACGTTATTGAGCCACAAAAGTACAAACAAACTTTCACATTAATAATATCAGCAGGATGTGAACCGATTTTAATATTTTTAAATAAATACGGGTGGTGCTTCATGGGTGGTACCACGTAAATTTGAATAATAAATTCCATCTCAAATAGTTTTTTTTTTATAGAATATAGGTGACATACGAGCACACAGCCCACCTGATGGTTAGTGGTTGCTGTGGCCCATAGACATCTACATCTATCTTCGTTTGCGAATTAAAATGCAGGTGCGTTGTCACCTGTGAGGATTAGGATAGAATGCCTCATTTCCAGTAAAAGGTCTAATAGTGTAAAGATAGGGGATAAAATTCTTAATGCTTAAAACTAAGATATGAAATTCTAGATGCTAGATAGCTTGTGCTATTTCTTAGTCCACTAAGGGTCGAAAAATTAGACTCTTAATATAAAATAACACTCGCCAATTGAAACACAGCTGTGTTACCTGCGTACAATAGCAGTTCAATGCTGCTATGTTTTGTATGGTGAGTGTAGACTGTAGAGAACCGAATACCCTTTTAACTGAAAACGAGACATTTCCATCTTAGTGCGTAGGGGTGACAAACATCTGTGTTTTGATATTTAATCAAGGATAAATGTCGATGTCAATGGGCTATTGCGTCCACTTACAATCAGGTGGACTGTATGCTCGTTTGTCTTTCTTATTCTATAAAAAAAATTGCAAAATTTGTACCGAACAGACAAGAAAGAGTGTTAAAAGAAGGCCACCGGTCGTGGTACTTACCGTTTGTGGTGGCTTCTCTCTGGGCGTTCGCCACTAAGGCTTCGCTAGCAACGGTGAAGTCCTTTCCCTCAGGAGCGAGCTCCGAGCTCAGCCCCGCCGTGTCGCTCGAGCACAGACCTGCCACATGAAAAGTCATGGCTTGTGGACCTTTAAGTTACCCCTACACTAGGATTTTATTCTGCATTGTCGACAATGCAGGATAAAATCGAATTTATACAAGGACAAACATCCAGCCCCGGTACAACAATTTGGAGGCCATACAAATACTTGAGCGGGCGCGGGTTTCGAACTCGCGGCCTTCAGCGCAGCAACTCATTGCTAAGCCACTGCGCCATGGAATATAATAGAATAATTTTTATTTAACATTTATTACATGTAATTCTTCTCGAAACTAAATTTTTACTTTTATCACTGGTTGGGAGAAAAACCTCTGTCCTGGTAAGAAACCAGCAAGAAACCCAGTGGCACTTTTTTTTAAATCAGTCATGGAGTCGTCTTGAATCCATCACAATCCGTCTATTGTCCCTTACAACGAGAGAGGCCCGAGTCTAGCTGTGGACTTTAGTGAGCTGATGAAGGAGAAAGTGGTAGCTAGATGCAGAATTACAATGACTCGTTTTATACGTGGTAGAGCCATGCTGCAGCTATATTAATAGTATAGTTTTAGCACGAATGGGTCGGCTCGACCGGGGAAGGACCACGCTCTCACAGAATACCAGCGTAAAATAGCAACTAAAGCTGCTGTGTTTCATATGGTGAGTGTAGAGAACCGGAGACCCTTTTTACTGGAAACGGGGCATCCCATCTTAGTCCTCACAGGTGACAACGCATCTGCATTTTGATTCGCAAACGTGGATGGATATAGATGTCTATGGGCCACAGCAACTGCTTACCATAAGGTGGACTGTGTGCTCGTTTGTCACCCTTATACTATAAAAAAATATCTAAGTACCACCTTATGGCTTATATTGGGTGATATAAAAGACCTTGATTTGTAGTTCTAATAGAAAGGTATAAGAATGATCCCGTGGGTATCGTAAGAGGCGACAGGGGGGAAACAAATCAGGAGATGGGCAGTAGCTTCTTTCCAATAACGACTAAAAATAAAAACAGCGGTTGCCCATCCGCTAGCCAAGTGTAAAATATCCCCACTATGAGGCAACCTCGGGGAAGGCCTATGTTCAGCAGTGGACTTTAATAGGGTGTAACGGTAAGAAAGATTTCAGTTAATGTGTAAAGTGGTTTGGTAGCGCAGTGGCTAAGTGTTTGACTGTGGTACCGCAGGTTCTAATCCCGCGCGGAACAGAAATTTGAATGTACGGTCTGATCAAATACATCCACCTCCTGGGCACGGGCTTCCTCTCACTTCTGAGGGGGTTTTAAGGCAAGGAATAGTCCGCCTCGCTTCCCCAATGTGTGTTGGCGGATTTCATACGTCTTCGAAATAGATATTTTAAAATTTTGAAGACATGCTGCTTTCATCACTATGTTTCCCAAGTGGTAAACGGCACTTACAACTGCAATTAACAATTTCATTGATGTCGACGGGAATCGAACCCGGATTGCTCGCGTACTGTGAAATTTACGCCGAGCACTTAACATCCTACTTAGCACGGCTCAAAATTCATATGACCTATAAAAAGTATTTCTGATCTGTGTGTTTATCTATTTGTCGAGTTATGTATACACGAGCCTATACAGGAATGAAAAAACGTCAGGAAGATGCGAGGGGCATTTTTTTCATCAATTACTTAATCGAAAAATTAAACATTTTACTCGAAAATATTGATAAAGTGCATAAAAAATTAAGTTTCTGATAACTTCCCTATAATCCATACTTTATTTGATTTATTACTTATATTTATGTGGGATAAGGTATTCGAAATTAGCGGAAACAATGCTCTTAAAAATAATTACTTTTTTTACGTCTTATCTTACGTTTTCACTCAAATCGCCATACGTCTCCTCTCTCCCTCTCATATATCCGTCTCAATCTTTAATTTCTGTGTTCCTTTTATGTTTTTCAAAATACTCTTAACAGCTTTTTGCTAGACTACACATGCTGATAATAACAAATAACTTACCTCTGATCTGCAGCGCTTCTGCGGACTTTAGGAGGCTGGGTAACTCCTCCTGCGTGACGTTCACCTCGCCCTTGTACATAAAGTCAACTAGCGCCTGCATTTCGCTGAACCTGCCAACACCAATAATATATTTTTTTTAATAGGTACAATCATTTTTATAGCTGGCGATGGTGGTTCGACAGCTAGCTAAGTGAGCCTATATAAACAAAGGGTATGAAGTATTCCTCCTTAGCTTTCAGGATGAATAAGGCACTGTTAAAGTTTTATTACAGGCTTCAGGTATACTGTTTAGATTATGGCTGCGGTGGCCATTGGAGAGCTGGTGGATTACAACCCAATCATAAACAGTTATTTTTTGTCTCTTTATAATGTGTCTTTGTGCATTATCTCCACTATAGCCAAACTAATTCGGATGAGATTTTAAGTGATATAAGCTTGGGATAACACACAGTGTTTGTTTCATTAAAATTTGTTGACACATAAAGAGATAAATGTAAGTAATAAAGCGCGTATCGCGCGCGCTCTACATGACGTACAAGTCAGAAGAATAAAGTGCTGCTCGGCTGTTTTATCCGCGTGCGTGTAAAAACTGTGTACATTTATAAAAAAAATTGGGTATAGTAGTTTTGAGTAAACTAAAAAGTATGCTAAAAATGTAAAGATACAGTGTAAATATGTCCCACTGCTGGGCACAAGCCTCCTCTCACTTTTAAGAGGCCGCTAGCAAGGCGGCAAGGATCTTTTGACCCGTATTTGAACTTGCAGCGCTGATTATTTTGTCACTTTTTGTTTATACAGTTTCGTACTTTGTGACTTTTAATGAATTACGATTGTTTTATAAACAAAAGTATTTACATTGTAATATGTTTCTACAAATATGAATAAAAATAACATTCACATACAATGACAGCTAGGATCATTTCACCTATTCAATAGATGAATGCATTGCTGTTGAGGAGGATAATTATAGGATAATTATTAACTTTATTGCCTAATCTTGTTTTACATACCTAAATATTTTAGTTTATACGTTCATTACTCTACGCGTTCTCATTGAGTCAATTTCATTATTTTGGTTGATATTTTGTGAAAATGTCTCAGAGTATCAGCGATGCAGAAATATTGACATTATTGCAATAGTTGCCAGAAGATCAATCGGATAATGAAAGTGCAGGTGTATCATTACCACCAGAAATTGAAGATAGCGATATATTATATAGCGTATATTCCTGTATCTCCTGAGTTGACTCTCCGTTGACTACCATTCAACAACAAACTAGGGGAAGATCGTCTCGGCCACACAACAAAACGAACATCATTTTATGTAAATACCTCTCAAAATAATATGATGTCACCAGGTGGAACATTGTGGAAATCCATATTTGAAAATAGCTCAGAGGTGGCAGGTGGCCGAGTAAGGCATAATGTTGTGACTGAACAGCCAGGACCAGCCAGCTATGCACGGAGGCAAGTTGGAGAGAAATTCATGGCAGCCTGGAAACTTTTGATAGATGATACAATTTTACGACACATAAAAAATGTACTGAGGCCACAGCAAATCGTCGGCTTGGTCATTCATGGTATATTTCCCTAGAAGAACTTGAAAAATTAATTTCCATTCTGTATGTTAGAGGTTGTTTTGTAGCGAGAAATATATCTGTAAATGATTTATGGAGTAAAATATAGGGAATTCTATATTTTTCTAAAACTATGCCTAGATTCAAAGAAATTATGAAATATTCACGATTCGATGTGAGATCAGAAAGATCTACGAGAATTATAACAGATACATTTGCGTTGATTTCTCAAGTATGGAATCGCTTTATTGACAACTGCATTTCGTGCTACGAGCCGGGAGAAAATGTAACAATAGATGAACAGTTGTTTGCTACAAAAGTTTGATGCCCTTTTGTCCAGTATATGGCTAATAAACCTGATAAATTTGGAATAAAATTTTGGCTCTGGGTTGATGTCAAATCGAAATACTTGTTGAATGTTTACTCATATCTTGGGAAAGATGAAACTCGACCGCAATGTCTTGGACAACACGTCGTCATGCATCTTATGGAACCATTTTTGAATAAAGGTAGAAATGTGACTACAGATAACTTTTTCACATCTGTGTCTCTCGCACAGAACTTGCTTTCAAAACGTACCACTTTGGTTGTTTCTATAAATAAAGGGAGACGTGACATTCCATCGTACGTAAAAAATCTAACATTGGATTTATATGACACCAAAGCAATATAAACAGAAAATGACCAATGATTATTGACTGTTTACCAAACAAAGAGAAGCAAAAATGTTTTGTTATTGAGTACCTACATTACATGAGTGTTCATATACAGTGGCGATGTCAAGAAAAAACCTGAAACTGTTATGTTTTACAAGTCAAATAAATATGGTGTTCACGTGGTCGATCAAATGGCGAGAAGATACAGCACAAAAGCACCTAGAAGATGGCCGGTACGTATCTGCAATAAATGCCTGGGTGTTGTACCAAGAAAATACGTAGAAGAGAATTTATTCTGCAATTGGCGGTTGAACTGAGTAACATTTTAGAAGAACCCACTCGTGAAACCTCACTGTAACGTTCTATCGTCTCAGGAATGCCAGCAGCTGAGTTGAGGAAGAGGCGTAATTGCTACCAAACTCATTGTAAAAATAAAACTAATAAAGTGTGTGACTTGTGCAAAAAAACCACTTGTGGCAGATGTAATCTAGGTATCAAAAATATTCATATCTCATAACTGTAAATAACTTTTTTATTAAACATATAATTTACACTGCAAACCAAAAATATTTCATTTGCCTTTATAATAATAAATATTGTCTACTATTTCTACAATTACACTACACATATATACATAATCATAAATCACTTAACACAAAATACCTAATTGTGGTTTATGTATAAGAAATAGACATATGGTATCGTGGACTTTTTTCTAAACGGAGTAAAGATCTATATTTTTGTAGAGTACCTATTTACGTATCATAACATCAGCGCACGCTGATAAATCATTTCGGGAGCGTTTTTTCTTCTAGCTTGCTTAACAAAAATCAATATTTAAGGCTAGTTGAGATATATAGCCTAATGCTAGATAGCCTATACTATTCCACATGAATCTGGCTATAATATACAAAAAGAATTTTTCAAATCGGAATCGGATTAGCGAGTTTAAACAAACAAAATAAACTCTTCCGCTTTATTACATTAGTAAGTATTATTATTAAATTAGAATAGATAAATAAATTAGGAGGATGTGTGGATATTACATGGTTGCCTCTATAGAATTGTGGGCACAGCTTGTATTAAAACTATAAATATAATATACCTTATCACTGAGTGATTCCTGTCTGACGTACCGGTATTGAAAAAGAAATTTTAATTCGATATTTTGTACCGTTATTTATATTTTAAACTGTTATTTGAAGTTGGTTTACTGTGCGGTGGCGCTCTTCTATTATCATGCCTTCCCATTATCTTGATTTAAAGTCAGAAGCTGTAATTATAAAGATAATTTACTAAACCCATACAACTCATCAATTGCCGGTTCTTTGAAAAAGTCTCGAGCGGCAGCCGGAGGGCAGCAAGAGATGAAGTGACAACCTGGTAAGAAATGCAGGAAGTCGATGATTGCAGGTGGCTCGGTACCGTGCTACAAAGAATTCCTTGAGAGAGGTCTATGCTCAATAGAAAATTTTACTATCTTCTTCGTCTTTTTTATGGACTAAGACTGACAAACAAGCACACAGTCCACCTGATGGTAAGTGGGTGCTGTAGCCCATAGACATCTAAATTTAACCTCAATTAATAATAAAAATGTAGATGCGTTGTCACCTCTTATGACTAAGATGGAATGCGTCGTTTTCAGTAAAAAGGGTCTTCGGTTCTCTACACTCAACATACCAAAACACAGCAGCATTAAGCTGCTATTTTACGCTGGTATTCTGTGAGAACATGGTTTTACCCCGGCCGAGCCAACCCAGTCCTACTACAACTATAATATAACAGCAGCGTGGCTCTGCCACGTATAAAGTTGTGGGTTGTAAAGATGATGAACTTAACTTAGAACTTACCTCATATCTCTCATGAGCACGATGGGGTGCTTGCAGGGGTTCTGCAACAGCAGCCGCTCGAGGTACGCAGAGCAAGCGGACAGCACAAGCTTGTGGCAGCGCAGCTGTCTTGACTCGCACGCCAAGGTCACGTCCGCGAATTGCTCGGTTAGTAGTAGACGGGGGAAAACCGCCTGAGAGACACAGAGATCAGTATTATTAATAAGAAACAAGTGGATCTCCTTACACCGCTACTACACGTATATACTAGCGATCCGCCCCGGTTTCGCACGGGCGATTTCTGGATCTCGACAACAGCGCCACCTACCGGTAAATATGAACCATCCTGGGACCCACTCAAAAGCACATAATTTCACAAAAATCGTTCGTGTCGTTTTCGAGTTTTAGCGAGATTAACTCGGAGCAAATGATTTTTATATTATATAAGAAGAATAAGATATATAAGCAGTAACACCCTATATCACTCCGTCAGGGGTTGAATTTTCCAAAATCCTTCATTAGTGGGTGTCAATTCTGCGTATAGTTTTGGAGGTCTCGTGTCTGGTCAAAAAATCAGTAATTGAGTTTTGTCAAGAAATTCTCAGTAGCTGTTCGGAGTCAGGAAATTGGTGCCGTTTCCCTGTTGTACTCTCAAACGGCACGTAAAGCCGTTAGTCCTGTGCCTAGTCTCTCTCCGATCGTGTCGGATTACCGTCCCATCGGACTATGAGCGTGAGGGCATAGAGAGTGCACCTGTGCTTGCGCATACACTTAGACACTATAATCTTGTCCTGCTCCTATGACTAGTTCCCGGTTAGACTGGAGACATTAATTATTTACTATTTTATTTATTTTAATATTTTTGCATTTCCTATAAGAAAGAATACAAAGGGCGGACTTGTCTATAGGCATTTTTTACCGGCCCATCCATGGAGTGGGGAGAATTGATCGTAAAGTATAGCAATTATAAAGACTTAAAAGATTAGAATCTAAATTAAAATAAATTAATAACGTTCTACTACCCATTTCGTACCGTGGGTATCGTAAGAGGCGACAGAGGTAAACTCAAGCAGGAGATGGACAGCAGCGTCTTATAACAACTCAAAATAATACAAAACGTGTGGTGGTCGCCGACTCGTCTGATAAGCATGGCCAATATGGAAACTATCCCCCCCCCCCCTCCCGGGTCAACATGGGAATTCTCTTTCCCCCCTCCCACTCCCCCATAAGACAATCTCCATATGGTTGGCCTATGTTCAGCAGTGGACTTTGATAGGCTGTAGTGATGATGATGATGATGAATAATTGTACTTTTAATTTCATTCATTCATCTCATTAAATATATAAAAGTTGTCCTGAATGACTGACAAATCTATCAACTTACAGCCCAAACCTGAAAGATATCTGAAATCTGGTCAGGTGCTGCCTTTAATGACGTAGGCATACGCTAAGAAAGAATTTTGGAAAATTCGACCTAAGAGGGTGAAATAGGTTGTTACAGTTTGTATGAAACTTTTTATTTTACGTGACACTTGACTCTACACTTACTGAAAGTGTTCTGTGAAAAAAATAAAATTGAACACAGAGAGATATCAAATTTGCACGGAGAAAAAAATAATTAATTATTTTTTTAAGTTAAAAAGTAATGCAAATACTATTCTTGTAAAAAGTAAAGATACAGCTTGTATACGTTCCACTACTGGGCACAGGCTTTCTCACACTTCTGAGAGGGTTTTAGTCTTCTCTATTATCTATAGATTTTAGTTTTAATAAGAGTTCTCTACTTCTATGAAGTGAATATTTTTGTTTATATATTACAAAATGAGATGTCACGCGACATTGACTTCGGCAAGACCTCAAAAAAAGCAGAACAGACGTTTCATCGCTGTGGTAACGACCAATGAAGGAAGTGCCTCAGCCTTGCTTCAGCCGAGTCACGTTTGAAACACGTGACATGTTGATATAGGTTTCGATTAATAATAAACTATAAGATTATGGTTATTAGGTGTGATATTTGTATGCTTCCAAACAATAATGAATTTCTATATTAAATAGCGTGAATCTAGCGTACCTAACTATAAGTTCTATAGTTGCAAGGCTTTCAGATTAGTATGCGACTCATAAATCTAATGAAGTCCGTTGTAATTAATGTGTATTGTTACTGTGTAGTAACAGCGTAAGGAGACTACTATCCCAGACATCCCGTAGGCGTCGTCATAAGGAGATGAGATAAACTGAAATAGGACATGAGGTTCACCATCTTCGTAATAATAACTGAAAATATTAAAAAAACTGTGTCAAGTATGGTAACTACTTTTCATACGTGTAGCTATGCTCCAGCTATATTATGTTTGTAGCGCGAACGGCTCTACTGGAGAACGCTCGCACGGAATACCACTGTGAAATAGCAGCTTTGTTTTGTATTGTAAGCGGAGACCTAGGAGGAATACAGATGCGTTGTCACCCATGACGACTAAAATGTTTTTCAACAGTGGTAGAGCCACGCGGCCGCTTTTGCTGTCGCACGGATGGGCCGGCTCGAACCGGGGTGGTACCACGACCTCACAGAAAACCAGCGTGAAGTAGAGGTTTACCTCTGCGTTTCGCTTGGTGAGTGCAGGTGGACGGAGGCCCTTTTTACTGGAAATGAGGCATTCCATCTTAGTCCTCACGGGTGACAGCGCATCTGCATTTTGATTTGTAATAGGGGATAGATGTAGATGTCTATGGGTCGCAGCAACCACTTACCATCAGGTGGACTGTGTGCTCGTTTGTCACCCTTATCCTATAAAAAAAGAATGTGATGCTTTGTTTCCAGTAAAAACGGTCTCCGGTTCTTTACACTAACCATGCGAAACACAATCGCATTAAGCTGCTATTTAACGCTGGTATTCTGTGAGAGCGTGGTCCTACCCCGGTCAAGCCGACCCATTCGTGCTACAACCTTAATATAGCTGCAGTGTGGCTTTACAAAGTATAATGTACTTAATATAAAATAGAATATAAAATAAAAACTCACCTGTAAATTTGTGTGGTATGAGTTCCATCTAACGCAGAACTGTTGCGGAGGTAGCGCCATCTTCTGTCGATGTGTCAAAACTCGACGACGGATCAAAACTAATGTCGTTTTATAAAAACATTCCTACCTAAGTATTAAAATATCTTTGGCCGACGCTCTCTCAGTCCTTCATAACATTAATTGCACTGTTATTGGTTAAAAAAATTGCACAGCATTTATATTTAAAATAACAAAAAGTCCACAATATTCTCCTTTATCACAGCTTTATTATTAAGTAGAAATATTTTAAGTACAAGGAATACTCGTTTGGTTTTTATTTTAATAAGAAACTTTAAGACTAGACTGTATATATATAGAATACTGGAACTCACAAGTATATTGTTTTAGTTTGGATATCTGAAACAAAAGAAATGCGCAATTTATTTACTATGTTTGATAGGTTTTAAAATTTAATCGATAATAATAACAAACAGAATACAATTTATCGTCTGATTTGGTTTAAATAGCTCTTTTTTTATTTTAGGAAGAATTTTTCGTAATCGTTACAGTTGGCAGTCGGATTGGTGATTGCATTACATGTTGCACCTTTGAATTTTGACCGTCCCAGTCTGGCCAATTAAACCTGGCTTAAACTTGACAAGTTTTTGTTGTTGCTTTGTTAGTAATAGTAATCTCTTTATTTCGACCAACACGGATCATATTAAATAAGTATTTAATTATAATTAAATAATAAGTACTTAATCAATTATATTAATTTAGAAAACTTAAAAATATATAACATATTAGTTAATAAACGGTATTTTATAACGGTATTTAAAATAACGGTATTAGACGGTACATCTTCACAATGATCATCAGGTAGTAAGCTCATGAATGTATAAGGAGGCCTATGCCTATGTTCACTGAACTAATTTCAATGAACTGACTTCGATCTACATATTAAAATAAAAATAAAATATTTTAAAAATACTGGCCGGCTAGCCGGAATTTTTTTTTTAATTTAACAAAACGCGCGGTGTGAGTACCAATTTTAAAATAAAACTGTTTTGCACAAGCTTCACAGGTTAAAGAAAAGTTGTTTCCGCGCGTGGAAGGGAGACAACGAACAACCGAGGGGAAATTTCCCACTAGTAGCAACAACAAGCAAAAAGGAGCTTGAACATAAAAATCAATATCAAAGCGCAAGGGGGCCGGTTGACCTTAAACGTGGGGTCTCGCTTGACTTTTAATGTTATTTTTTTAATATCGTCTGTATTAATACTTTTTTAACTGTAGCCCTTATTTTATAATAAATTATTTATAATATAACAAATAATAGCTATAGACAAAGGAGAATTAATTGCGATTTGTTACTTGCAGCCGGGGCTACAGAGGCTGCACTAAAAGTATCGGGAATGGAATATTTCCACTGTTCCTGTCATATTAAAATCTTTTTAATTTAAAAGACCTTGGTTTTAAAAATCGAATACCATTTATTTATTTAAAAAAGATTCTCGGTCTTGTCACAAGGTTTTGTCAAACTTGTTTAGTCGTTGAGAAAATGGAATTGACTCGAGAAAATTCAAGAGCGATGATTTTTTAAATGCAGAACGGTATGCTAGCATTTGTTTGCCACAGGTCGTTTCTGAACTCCGTAAAGAGAACTGCAACCGCCGCATCATCCTCCATCACGACAATGCGAGTTCTCACACCGCACACAGAACAAAAGAGTTTTTAGAGCAAGAAAACATAGAATTATTAGACCATCCGCCGTACAGCCCCGACCTAAGCCCTAATGATTTCTATACTTTCCCTAAAATAAAGAATAAATTGCGTGGACAGAGATTTTCATCACCTGAAGAAGCTGTGGACGCCTACAAAACGGCCATTTTGGAGACCCCAACTTCCGAATGGAATGGTTGCTTCAATGATTGGTTCCATCGTATGGAAAAATGTGTCAAATTTCGCGGAGAATCTTTCGAAAAGCAATAAACACATTTTTAAATATGTAATGTTGTGTCACTTCCTTGATTCCCGAAACTTTCAGTGCCGCCCTCGTACTTGCAGCTTCTGTTTACTAATTTGTGTTCTGATCCGCGCATACAATTCGTAGTGTCTTAAAGTATTGCCGTAGAATGCTTGGGATTGGATTAAATTGGAATTCTCTATTGCCATTAGGTGTCATAATTTCAACAGCCACTCGAATCATCTCTGGTAAAATTTGGTGTTCATTTGCGAGGATTTATATTTTATCAATTTTTACCCGACTGCCCCAGAAGGAGGAAATTGTTTTTTGAGAGTATGTATGTATGTCTATTTCTTTGGCACGCTCTGTAGCCTAAACGACTTGACGGTTTTTAATATAAGAGGTGTCGTTAGATTTGTCTGAATTGTGGGAATAACATAGGATTTAGAATATTTATATATTGTATCTGCAAATACAAAATGGAGGGGAAGATTAATTTCCGTAAACCTTTTAACGCAGTTGCTTTTTTATTACTGTATTAACCATTAACATTGTAATATACATTAGTTCGTACTTATTAAAATCAAACAATATTAAATTTAACAACAGGCCTGTGTGTGAGTAGAAGTTAAAGTGTGATCCAACATCCAGATCACCTGGTACGAGAAAGTAGTTAATACTGTAGCTAACAAATATGTCTATTGACTCGCTAAACAAAGAGTATAGAAACATAAAACTATATATGGACGTAATAATATTTAACGTGAGTAGAGTCGCATATTTAATTAGACCATGAACTTATTCAATCGATCGATAAGGCCCGGACGACATCGGTGAATTATTTATGTAGTGGCACAGCCTTAGTTAGTCAAATATAATGATAACCCTAGACTGGACTAGTGGTCGTAAACGCGACTTATAATCTTGAGGGTTCTTGGCACGCCTTGTCATCTCTGAGGATTAAGATGGATTGCCTCATTTCCAGTAAAAAGGCTCTCCAGTTCTTTAAACTCACCATACAAAACGCAAAAGCATTAAGCTGCTATTTTACGCCGGTATTCTGGAAAAGCCTTGTCCGTCCCCGGTTGAGCCGACCTATTCGAGCTACAATTATAACATAGCTGCAGCGCGGCTCTACCACGCAAAATACTGTTTGCTCTCCAAGCCGGATAGATGTATTTCGACGTACCTTAAATACTGTTTACTAAGTAAAATAATCCACTACTCCATTTCCTCCTGACTGTCGTAGGAGAAGAACAAACGAAAAACTGAAGTAGAGGAAGTATTTAAGGGAAATTGGCAGTAGCATCTTTTTTTTTTATAGGATAAGGGTGACAAGTGAGCACACAGTCCACCTGATGGTAAGTGGTTGCTGTGGCCAATAGACATCTACATCTATCCTCGTTTGTGAATCAAAATGCATATGCGTTGTCAGCCGTGAGAACCAAGATGGAATGCCTCTTTTCCAGTCAAAAGGGCCTTCGGTTCTCTAAACGTATCTTCATGATATTTTTTATTTTATAGAATGGGGGTGACAAACGAGCACACAGTCCACCTGATGGTAAGTGGAGGCTGTGGCCTATAGATATCTACATATAGCTTCGATAGAGAATCAAAATACACATGCGTTATCACCGCTGAGGACTATGATGGAATGCCCCGTTTCGTTAAAAAGGGTCTCCGGCTCTCTACAGTCACCACACGAAACACAGCAGCGTTAAGCTGCTATTTTACGCTGGTATTCTGTGAGAGCGTGGCTCTTCCCCGTTCGAGCCGACCCATTCGTGCTACAACCATAATATAGCTCCAGCGTGGCTCTACTACGTGAAACATACAACTCTATTTTCAATTAACATTCCTGTATCTATATTGAATAATGAATTATTCTATTCTATCCTTTTCCTTTATTTCAGACGCTGGTACCTACGTGTTATTTCAAGCATGTACCTACGTATAATTAAAAAAAAAACTGCAAAAACTTTTTAAATCTCATAAATATCTTGAACCAGACGGACCAAAAACGACGAGTACTTAAATTCCCTATTGAGTTCGCTTAAAACAGTCCGTAAAGGGAGTTCCATATCTGTTCAAAGATAAGTAAAAAAGACTCCCGACGGTGGGGTCTGGAGGGCGTCGACCCTAGGGGCGCTCCCGAAATAGCGCGCGCGGGGGTCTGTTGGCCCAGTACACGCGGTTTATATTTGGACGGAGCATTTTGAGCTTAGGAATCATTTTGGTATCGTGGAGAACGTATTGATTTTATTTGGAACGTACCGATAGTGTAAATAGTTGAAGCTTTGTTTTCGAACAATATTACCATCTTTAGATTAAATATTAGAATAAAATTTTAACATTTCCTCGGCATAGTTTAACTAACTTTATACTTCTTTATAATTTGTAATTTAATAAAGATTTTTTTTATGGGATAGGGTGACAAACGAGCACACAGTTCACCTGATGGTAAGTGGTTGCTGTGGCCCATAGACATCTACATTTATCCTCATTTGCGAATCAAAATGCAGATGCGTTGTCACCCGTGAGGACTAAGATAGAATGCCTCTTTTCCAGTAAAAAGGGTCTCCGGTTCTCTACACTCACCATACGAAACACAGCGGTGTTAAGCAGCTATTTGACGCTGGTATTCTGTGAGAGCGTGGTCCTTCCCCGATCGAGCCGACCCATTCGTGCTACTACTAATATAGCTGCAGCATGGCTCTACCACGTACAAAAGATATTATCCATAAGTACCGTGTAGCGGCGATGTAAGAATATCCACTACCACATATCGTCCAGAAGGTGTCGTGAGAGGCGACAAAGGGAAAATGAAGCAGGAGATGGGCAGCAGCATCTTCCTGATAACAACTCAATATAATAAAAAATTCCGGTTGCCAACCCGCTTGCCAAGCGTGGTAACTATAGCAAAATTCCCCCATGAGGCAATCTATGGGGGAGGCCTATGTTCATCAGTGGACTTTTATATGCTATAATGGTATTATACATAAGTGTAATTTGTCAAACTGAGAGTCTAATAAATTATTATTACTCCTAGTATTTCTAGAAGTGTGCTTATCAACTACAAATACCATAAAATCAACGTGTAGAAAGTCTTTTAACCACTTTTTAATAAACTCGCTTATCTGTTCGTTGCAAATTTCGCAATTTATTTTAAACTAACTTCCTGATGAGTTGGAGATTTAAAACTTTAAGTATAGCTCAGGACTAGAAACGTTGTAAAAATGGTTGCCATTTTGAATTTTAGACTTTAGAATTTGTGTATATCAATAATATTTTTGTTACTTTGAGTTGTTATAACGAAGGTATTGCTGCCCATATTTTCATTCACCTGCGTCACCCACGGGATGATAGTGGGTTAATTATTTAATTTATTCTAAAATTACTAATAATTATTAAAAGTTTCCATACAATTTGTTTTTATTTTTTTACGTGATAG